TTCCCAAAGTATCATGATTTCTTTCCCTTCTGTGTTTGCAAACATGCAACAGACTCCTGCGTTGCAGCCCAATGAACTAGCCGTCTCCCATTTATATTTAAGAATTTGGCCAAGAAAGCATCCCTATACACTTTAAGTACGTGAATTGTGTAGTATGTGAAATATATCTCAATAATGCTGTTACTTAGGGAGAAAAAGAATGCATCCCTTTCAGTAGCATCCCCAAACTCATTTAGTGTTATACACATCTTGTACAAATTTGCATTTCCATTCCATTGCATTTATATGATGTTGTGGTCCACTGGCTCATCACACTGCTTGAGGGCAGGGCCATGACACTCACCTTCATGTTCTCCTCAGCTAGTATGATGTCAGGGACAAAGCAGACACTCAGTAAATGCTTACTGGATAAATGACTGAAATACTATAATCCCTAAACACAGTGACACATAGTTGAAACCAATTATAATAAATCCAGCAGGTGTTAGAATTGAGTTTACAGTCACCTGAATTGAAGTTGAGTGAGTATAGTTTGCCACTTAGAAAGTAAGTTACCTTGAATATTGAATTACTATTACAATTGACAATACTGGCCTTTAAAATATAAAGTATAGACATGTGAATGTAATTGTACATTTTATTAATTGATTATTGACACCATTAACAGATGTCCCCATTTTTCCCCTATCTGACTGCTTCCACCCAACCTCCACCCCCCTTCCCTCTGGTCAACCCACAGTGTTGTCTGCATCTATGAGTTATACATAGATGTTCGTTGGCTAATCCCTTCACTTTATCAAATCTCCCCCTCCCCTGTGACAGCTGTCAGTTGGTCCATGTGTCCATACCTCTGTTTCTATTTTGTTTGTTTGTTTTGTTCAGTAGACTCTTCATATAAGTGTGATCATATGGTATTTGTCTTTTTTTGTGGTAGAATCATTTTCCAGTGAGATACAGCCCTTGTCCTCAAGTCGGATTCCAAGAGTTAGTTCATATTTATTCATCTACTTACATGAATGAGTCATCATCCAGCTGCTATAAGCTGTGTTTAATTAGCTTTAAAGCATTTTTTTCTAAGAGCTTCTGTCATTCCAATTTAAGCTCCATTAGTTTTCTTGGCTCCCACATTATAGGACAAATAATATAAGAACATGCCCTTTTTAGTGGGGCCAAATCACTCATCATAAGTTCTTAAAACCAGCATCCACATGCAACGGAAGTCTTCATGTCTTGGTGTCACCAAATATATAAACTTCCATTTTTTCGGGTTTTCAAAGCTTCTCCACAAATGCTAAAGATCAGTCTTCACAGGATGATATTTCTAACCACCAAATTTTCATCGATCGCCAAATAACAGAACAGTTTGTAATGTTAATTGTTCTTAATTGGAAAAACAAAGATCAGAAGAATTATATCCAGATGGTATGGGTGAATTTTAAAGGCTTAATCTAGTCCTTGTTTTCCTAACAAACCATGTCTCCTGGCACTGGAAACCTGACTGCCTCCCACCACTTAGCAGGAAACAGAGAGAAATGGGAGAGAAGAGAGAGGGATCCTCACTTGCCTGTCCCGATCTGGTGGGACAGGAACTGAAGAGTCTCCCTTGGTAACTCTGCTTTTCTATCTGGTTGGTATAGAAGGAGAGAATACATCTAAATAACCTCCACTATCTCACTGCCATTTTTCCCTGTCTCCATTCCTTGACTGTCTTTTTTTCTTTCTTAGAATTTTGTAATTTAGTTTTAGGGTTTTTTTTTATCCTTTCATTGTCTATCTCCACTATGAGGTTATGAGCTTCCAAGGGGCAGTCCCATATTTCTCTCCTCGCTAACCAGTGCTGTGCATTGTACACATTTCAGGAATGCACTAAATATTGGGTTGAATTCTGAAGGGCTATGCTGCCCAGCATAAAAATGTATGCTAGTGCAAAAGTTCTGGACAGGGGTCAGTCTTGAATAAAACAGGAGCAAGCAGGGCAGGAGAAAATGCCAATTGGTGTCTTCTTTTTCAATTTGTGTTTTTAATGGGACCACAGCAGGGTTCATTTCAAAGCAAATATCTGCTGCTCACATTGCATTATGGTTAACCTAGACTTGCTGGTCAGCTGCCCTGTCACCCTGCTTCTGTAGAAAAACGAGCCACTATGCTTACAAACAAATGACACAAACATTTAGAACACAATCAATTCAAATTATAATTGGTCTCTGATGTCCACTGTCCCTCATTTCCCTCTTTCCCGTTCACCTTCTCTCTCACTTCTCAGTCTTCCCCTCCCAAACCCTCCTCTCTGTCTTCACTCAGTCAAGCATGAGCGCGCACACACACACACATTTTTCTGAAACAAAAATATAAATATAGCAATCTCATAACCAGTTACCAAGCCCTAGAATTATTCTTTAATCATAATTGCTGGTCAAACATATTAAACTCACACTATCCCTGCTGAATTCTCTCATTCCATTAAAACCCTAGCTGAGGCCGCATTTGCCTATGCCTGGTCTGTCAAAACAGCCAGCTAATTAGTGTCCTGATTCCAGCCTTTTCTCCTTTTGACTCATTCTGAATAAACCAGAAGCTCATAACTACCTCTAAAGTACTACTTCTCATCATGTTACTACATTTTTTCTTACATGACTTTCAAAGCAAGTGAATAAAATTTGCTTCCCAAATCCATATTCCAGGATCTCCATCTTATGATCCTAATCACCTCCCTAACTTTACTTCCTACCACCCAACAAGGACCCTTCACAGGACCTCATTAAGATCATTTCCTTATTTTTGGGCACACCTTTAACCAACCTAGCTGTGTGTCTTCATTCATTAGTTCTCCCTTTCATCTCTTTTCATTCCCATTTCATTCCCATCACCCTTTCTTGACCAAATCTAGCTCCAAATCCTTGGTAAAAATTTCTCAATCACTCCATGATACAAGAGTCCCTTCCTATCCTCCTTCAGCATTTGTATAATGGTTTTACAAATAATTTCTAATTTCCTATGTAAGCCTCACAATAACCCTGTGAAGTAGTCACCAGAAGTATGTCTACTTTTTTAATGAGGAAAAAGGTGTTTGGAGATGAGAAGTGATTCATCCAAGCTCACACAGCTGGAATGTGGCAGAGACTATCTTCACATCTTGGCCTTCTGACTCCATTTTAAATCCTTACTGGGCATTTACTATAGCCTGCCTCAGGTCAGTAGTTATTTGCATGGTTTTTGCTATCATCCAAACTAGATTATAAGCCCTTGAAGGCAGTAGCTAAGGAGAGAACTTGCCCCAGTGCATCATAATGCAGAAAATGAGAATTCAGTGAATATTTGATTGAGTGATTCTAAGAGTAGTTTAATCCCTCCACCCCATTTAAGAAGCTTCAACAATCCCTCTCTCCCTCTGATGTCCAATATTTAGATTCTAAGCACTTAACTGAACAGTTTCTGATAAACTGCAATAGATACTGGCTATTATATAATTTCTCGACCTAACCACCCCCACTCTGGCCAAACTAACTGCAAATTCCCTGAAGATGCATCATTTTGACAAGTAAAATGAAATCTATTGGTCTTTAAATGTTGGCTAAGCTGGCCATGAGTCATAGGAATAAGTGGGAAAAAAATGTATTTCCAAAACTCACCTGAAGTTGAGTCATGTGGCACACTTGCTACAAATACATGTATCTAGGATTTGGATTCAATACTTTTTTAATTGTATGTTTCATTTTTTTGATTATTCTAAACATGCAATCCCAGAGGACATACTACAAAGCACTGAGCAGTGGAAAAGAGACACTGAGGAGAAGGCTCACCAACAGACCGCATTGCTGTGCTAACCCTGGTTCATGTGGACGTGACTGCTTGTGATTTACTCTGCACATAACTTTCCTGCCAGCAAAATTCTTCCTAGTTTGTGAAATAGGATTAAATATTTCACTGTTTTTTATTTTATTTTAATCATTGTTCAAGTACATTTTTCTGTCCTTTACTCCCATTCCAGCCCACCCACACCTCCCTCCCCACCTCCCTCCAATTTTCAACCCCCTTTAGTTTTTGTCCATGTGTCCTTTATATTTGTCCCTATAAACCCTTCCCATTTTCCCCTGACATTCCCCTGAAATTTCCTCCTGTTCCCTTCTTGTCACTGTCAGCCTGTCCTCTTTTTCAGTGTCTTTGACTATATTTTGCTTGTTTCTTTGTTTTGTTGTTTAAGTTCCTGTTAAAGGTGAGATCATATGGTATTTGTCTTTCACTGCCTGGCTTATCCCCTAGAGCAAGGGACATAAAGGAAAGAATAAACAAATGGGATCTCATCAAAATAAAAAGCTTCTGCATGGCTAAAGAAAACAGTATTAAAATAAAAGGAGAACCAACTGTCTGGGAAAACATATTTGCCAATGATACCTCAGACAAGGGTTTAATCTCTAAAATATATAAAGAACTTACAAGACTCCACTCTAAGAAGACAAGCAACCCAATTCAAAAATGGGCAAAGGACTTGAACAGACACTTCTCCAAGGAGGACATACAGAGGATCCAGAGACACATGAAAAGATGTTCAATATTGCTAGCTATCAGAGAGATGCAAATTAAAACCAGAATGAGATACCACTTTACACCGGTCAGAATAGCTATCATAAACATATTTCACAGCCCTGGCTGACGTAGCTCAGTGGATTGAGCGCGGGCTGAGAACCAAAGTGTCGCAGGTTCGATTCCCAGTCAGGGTACATGCCTGGGCTGCAGGCCATGACCCCCAGCAACCGCACATTGATGCTTCTCTCTCTCTCTCTTTTTCCCTCCCTTCCTTCTCTAAAAATGAATAAATAAAATCTTTTAAAAAATAAACATATTTCACTGTTTTAAAGTATTCCACAAAAAGCTTCTACAACTTCCAAATCTGGAAATGACCAAAGAAGAATAGGGCACCTGGGAGGAGAGTATAAATAGACAACAGACTTCATGACAGACAAAGGGCTGCAGCTTGAGAAGTGAGTTGAGAAGGTACTCACAGGCTCTCCCCGTGGTCCATCTTGCCCTGGAGCACCTGGAGGGCCTGCCTCTCCCTTTTAACACGAAAAAGAAATAAATGATTCCATTTTCAGACATGCTTATAAAATAGGGTATATATTATTTATATATTAAAGTATATTAGACACAGACAAAAATGAAAATTACTTCTAGATTACTGATATTAACTTCTGCTGACATCAAATAACATTCTGAAATTCATAAAGTAACTATATATTATAAATAGCAAATCTATACATGATGGCTGTTAAGTTATAAAATAATTGTGGTAGGGTACACTCATGGGAATAGTACATTATTCTTGTAGTCAAAGTAAATGTGAACAAAGTTTACATCAATCCATTTGATATTTATTTTTACTTTAAAATTGATCATCCTATTAAATCTAATTTGACCTTGCTCCCCCAACAGATGCATTTTAAATCCAAAATCAAGTGTTTTCATTAACAATGGAGTTATCAAAAACTAAACAATGGAGTTATTTGTAGGTTATTACTTGAAATTATTTGGCACTTTAGTATCACTTATTTAAAATGAACATCAACAGTGTGTATTTTTAGGTACCTGTCAAATGTATAATAATTTTTAGTTCTATACCTTTAAACTTCTGTGCTCAAATTATTTAACCATCTTATTTTACATCCACTCACATCTTAAGTGTTTCCCAAATCTAGGCTTTTTGAAACCTAACAGTTATTAAAAGCCATAATTTTTGTCTCTGTTCAGCGAAGTGTTACATAACAAGTAAACATTTTTTTCATACCAGGGAGACCACATCATCCTACATAAGAGCAAGAAAGAAAGTAAAACAAAAGCAATTTTTTTTGTAAATACCTCAAACGCCTGAAATGAAATAGGTTGAAAGGGGAAGAGTCTCAGATTACATGTGCTAAAATATGCCAACACTGTTTTCAAAGTGTTGAATTCATTAGAAATTCATTCTAATAAATTTCCCAAAATTAAAAGCAATGAACCACAGAGGGATACACCAACAAAAGGTGGCAAATATAATCAGCACTTAGGAAAACATTCAACTATATCACATTATATAAACAAAGATTTTCCCACTTTTATGAATTCTTGCATTTCATTCGCACAGTGAAATACCAACCAAAGCTAAATAGTTCATCTGTTCCAATTTTATTTACACACACTAATTGACAGTTGAGAACAGAGGGAGCAAAAGTATAATGTTTTCCTGTAAATTAACCACATTGAGAGAGGGGAGTCCAGCTGACTGAACAGTTCTATAGAAAAGCTTATAAAAACTTTAAAGAGAAACAAAGATACACTTAGTTTAAAATGCACTTAGTTTAAAAGCTACAGCTTAAAAAGCCTGAACAACTAGAGAAAGGGGACATGTCAGGTTCTAAATCATCAGGGAAATAATGTAACAACTAAACGTCAGCTCAGCACATATCAATACTCAGGAGGATTCTTCTGAGCCGGCGGTTCTCAAGTATGGCCCCCACAACAGCCAGATCAGCTCCACTTCATGTGGGAACTTCTTCAAAGTGCAAAATTGCAGGCCCTCCTGCAGACCTACTTAGTAAGAAGCTCTGGATGATGGAGCCCAAAAGTCTGCTGTAACAATCTCTGACTGATTCCCATGCAGGAACCATGGTACTGCTGTAAGGCACGAGGCCACCTAACTTCCCCTACCTCCAAGTACTGTCATATGTGACTTGTTAAGCAAATCTGTAGTTTAGCTCTTTTTTATATGAAATCAAGGGAGGAGGGCAGTTGTCAAAGAGTAGAAAAACTAATTTGGTATTAGAAGACTAAATTGGTTGGTAAAAATCTCTCCTTTTACTTCTCTGACCATTAACCAAATGTTATTATTGTATTCCAATTAGCAGGAGGTTTTTTTTTTAAGTAACCATCAGCAAGATTCATCAATAATGAAATCCTACAGGATTTTCATTGAAGATTTAGTTTATCCTTATTCTTCCTACTTCTTGTTAGGACAGATAATCAGAATGATATACCATCTATTCTTTATAATCTACAGCTTCGATTCTCAAACTTTACCCTCACCAGAACCACCTGGGGAGTTTGTTAGTGTGAAAACTCCCAGAGTTTCTGATTCCATTGGTCTGGAGTGGATACCAATAATTTGCATTTCCGGCAGGTTCCCAGGAGGTCTTATTACTGCCTTGGGACCGCACTTTGAGAACCACTGCTCTTGCTCAGATCTAAATAGAGACTTACACACTCTTTCTGCTCTTACCAGTCTGTCTATCTGTGAACTACAATGGCATTGCACAGCTTTACACCTGGCACTGAGTTTTACAATGGTCGGGTTGTTCAGCAGGTGTCTTTTTTATGTAGGTGTTTCCTGACTTGCACATTCTTTAAAGGAAGAAAACACATCTTATGTGAGTTTTTTTAAATCACCTACAATATTTAGAATATGCTGAACAGAATGTAAGGCTAAATCTAAGGCTATATCACCCCTTCTTTACAAACATAGAAACATATCAAGGGAGAATGGACTATTTATTCTTAAATGCTCAATTTCAAACAAATAAAGTGGAAAACAACATTTGTGGATAGGGCTACTGCATTTGTTGTTGGAAGAATTATATAGGCTGGTTATCGCAAGATGAGAGCCAATAATCTTTACTAGGAGTGTTCTCTTCATTATTTTTAATTTGTTTTTTTTTTAATTCTCACCCAAAGACATGTTTTTCTTGATTTTAGAGAGAGAGATAAGAGAAGAAAGTCAATGTGAGAGAGAAACATTGATCGGCCATTTGCTGTGCACTCCCAGAGCGGGGATCCAACCCACAACCTTTTGGTGAAGGGGACAGTGCTCCAACCAGCCCAGCCACCCTGCCAGGGCTGATTATTCCTTTAGTAATGTTTCCCTGGGAGATGCAAGGATGATTTCCTCTCGGCATTTTTCACAACATAATCGAATGCAGTACACAGCCAACCTGTGCAATTCAGTACTGTAAGCAGAACTGAACCCAGTCAGTGGGTTGCTTTGATGACCTGGAGAGCCAATTAGTTTGGCTGATCGGAAATGGCATATAATGTGCCTCTACCTCTAACTTATTGACATCATTTGCTACCTTATGCACTCCTTTATTGATTAAAAAATAATTAAGGAAAAGTCATACTAAACATTTTTCCTCAACCCAATTTCTACAGCTAATGTCAAAGATGATTTATTCTACAACAAACCAGTTATTTTTAAGAAGGGAAATTAACTAAAAACAGACATATGAAACTTGCACTGCATGTGTATCTCCTTTCATGCTGTGGTCTTTGGTACTTAACTCACAAAAAAAAAAAAGGAGGTAATTTAGTTTGTGATCATAGCAACCCCTCAAAATGAGGTTAAAGATGTGTGACCATTATAATATAACTCAATTTTGAGGAAGATCCTTACTTCATTATTAAACACTTCATTATGACTTTGACATTACTACATAATTTATTCTTCACATGTAAACAAATCTCTGCATTCCAGAGGTTATACTGAAGATATAGGGCTGAGAAGCTGCTTCTAGCCAAACAAATGAACAGACGGGAAGTTTGGAAGACCACCTGCAGAGACAGGATCACACAAATGAGGCCTGGGATTCTAGCTCAGCCATGTAACTGACTGTGCATTTGAGTGCATTCTTTAAGATCTCTTAATCTCATCTGATGTCCAAATGACATTAATACTACTAATTTTGTATGTTTTTTTAAAAAAATAAGAACCTTTGTGAAAGTGCCTTGTATAGCTCTAAGTACTTAAGAGAAGATGCATAAAAGTTAGCTACTCTACTGCCAGCAACAAAATTGGGTTTTTCACAATCTTTTACTTTTATTATTTGTTTCAGCATTCAAATGCTTTTATATTTGTACTGTTTGTAATTTGCCTAAATTAATTTGGCAATTAATTTAGGCAAAATGAGTATTTATAAAAACTAGGTCAATATTTTAATGTAGTTAAAATGCATAAAAACAGTGAAGTCAATAATGTAGTCAGTCATCATTTCCTATATTTGGAAAACATTATTTGAGTATAGTGGTTTTTCAACAATTTGGTGAAAGAAATTTTCATTGGTTGTTAAAATGCAGCTACAAAATCTTTAGTTACAAAATCCATTCTTTAGTTTCCTCTTCTGTAAAATGGTAAAATTTTTCATTTACAATTTATAATGATTTATGATAGTAATGAGAAAATGTATAAAAAGTACTGGGAAAGAGCCAAGATGTAGTCAGTGTCCAATAAATTATGCTCTTTATTATAATCTGTCCTCTCTCATGCTCACTTCTTTTCATGTCTAGCTTAATTACCATGTTTCAAAATGTCAATCACCTTCTAACTAAATTGCACCCTTTACACCTCACTGTTATTTGCTTCCCTTGCTTATGCAAACCCCATTGTTGAGTAAATCAAACTGAAATACCCATGGTTGGGCTTCTCAGGACATGGGAGGGAAAAACAATAGTACAACAGTCACACAGATTGTGGCTTTCAGCTTCATCCAGACTTCAGTACAGCTTCTATATGTCCTTGACCTCTTCTCTGCCATATTTTCCACACAGACATATGAGTATAAAAAGTTATCCCATCAACAAAAATTGCCTTTTTGTCCCCTCTCTCAACACATGACCATGTCTACTTCTTTTGAGAAAACAAGCCAAACATCCTGCCACCAAACCAATATATTTACCTGCATCTGAATTTTTTTTACAGTGAAACCAACGTCCCTGGCCCTGGCTGGTGTGGCTCAGTGGACTAAGCACCAGACTGCAAACAGTGAAACCAACGTCCCTTATACAACCTAAGATAATCCTTCCAACTCTGCGCAGTATCCCACTCATTCCCCATTCCAAATGACATGGAGCTCCTTATCTATATCTAACTGCTTGCTGGACATCTACCCTAGGATGTGCCACAAGAATCTTAAGTGAACAGAGTATACATCTCACCTCTCCACACCCTCAACAGAAGATACTGTCTACTAAACTCTTTTCAGTAAATAGTTTCATTGTTTAGAGAAACTTTTAACTTCACTATACATAAAAAAGG